CCAACCTTCAGAAATGGGGCTACAAAGTGGAATCCACGACATGCGAGTGCGGAGAAGAGCAAACCACTGACCACCTGCTGCAATGCAACCTGAGCCCTGCTACATGCACAATGGAGGACCTTCTTGCGGCAACACCAGAGGCACTCTAAGTGGCCAGATATCGGTCAAAGGACATTTAAACAACTACCAAGTTTGCACTCTTTGTGCTTTTTTTTTATCTGTTTGTTTTGTTATGTTAGAAATGTAATACAATGGTCTGGTTGCCCCTGACAATAAATAAATAAATAAATTGGCATGTAACCGACAGAGACTTATATCATGACACATGTGCAGTTTCAGCGTCCTGTGATAAATACAAGTGGGTCGGGGTAAATCTTTAATGAACACTCCTCGTACTATCCTTAAGAGCAGAGAGTGAATCTTAGTTGTGTAAAGGCCAGGGAATTTGCCTTTTTCTGGCATCTATGTAGATTTCAATAAATAAGCCAGTGATCAATAATAATTGCCCAGTTCTGCCATCCTCTTCCTACACCCTCAGATCTTCAGATGAGAAATAAACTGGTTTTGTTTTAATCGCTAGCAAATAGGGTCAAGTGTTTTGAGAACAAACAAGCCCAGTGTTTGCTCTGAAACGATAGACTTTCATCCCAGAAGCTGAGCTGGCTACGGCGGAGCAACCCAAATCGCGCCAGCTGATAAAAGGCAATTGTGTCCAGTACAAAACAGCTTTCTTTTCCCCTCAGATAAATGCTAAAAGGGGGGGGGGGGAGAGAGAGATACTGCTAAGGATTATTCTGTTGTAAGAACATTTCATTGCTGCCTTTGGTCCTCACAAGAGCACTCTGTACTGACAACCAAAGCTAGACCTTCCTGCTCTTCCAAATTGAAAATGCAAAAAGCAATATTTTTATGGGGTTGTGTATTTTCCAGGCTGTATGGCCATGTTCCAGAAGCATTCTCTCCTGATGCTTCGCCTGCATCTGTGGCAGGCATCCTCAAAAGTTGTGGAACATAGCGATACAGCCCAGAAAACACACAACAGTGATTCCGGCCGTGAAAGCCTTCTACAATACTTTTATCTCCTCTCCCTATAAAACATACAAGTATTAGTATTATATTAAGACCAGGAAAGTTGTAGCCTTGTGGATGCTGTTGAGCTTCAACTCCCATTATTCCTCAGCAGAGGCCAACAATACAGTGTTGTCAGGTGAAATAGCACCTTTATAATACTTTCCTTTCCAGAGCAGCCATAAGACCTTTCCGTTCAGACCAGTAGTGCAAAAGGATGAAAAAAGTGCATCCACTTATTGTGGTTTCCTTGCCTCTTCCCAGACTTCATCAATAACAATTCAATTGGGTGTCCTCCTAGACTCATCACTGGCGTTTGAAGCTCAGGCGTCGGTGGTGGCTGGGAGGGCCTTTGCACAATTAAGACTCATGCGCCAACTGCGATCGTACCTCGCGAAGGCGGATCTGGCCGGGGTGGTCCACGCCTTGGTCACCTCTAGATTGGACTACTGTAATGTGCTCTACGTGAGGCTGCCCTTGAAAACGGCCCGGAAATTCCAGTTGGTACAGTGGCCGGCGGCCAGGCTGTTAACTGGCGCTCCTTACAGGGAGAAGTCAACCCCCGTGTTTAAGGAGCCCCATTGGCTGCCATTCATTTTCTGGGCCCAATTCAAGGTGCAGATGCTTACCTACAAAGCCCTAAATGGTTTGGGACCCATCTACCTTCGTGACCGCATTTCTGTATACAAACCCACACAATCACTTCGTTCATCTGGAGAGGCCCTGCTCACGATCCCACCTGCTTCAGAGGCGTGACTGGTGGGAACAAGGGACAGGGCCTTCTCGGTGGTGGCCCCACGACTCTGGAATTCCCTCCTAAGGACATCAGGTAGGCTCCAACACTGGCAGTCTTTAGAAGGAGCTTGAAAGTGTGGATGTTCCAGTGTGCCTTCCCAGAATAAGGAATCCTAAGCAATATGTCCCTAATGCACCTTATGAGAGATTTAGAATTGTCTGCACGTTTACCTATCCCAAAACACTCCTCCTATCTCCCTTGAACTCCCCAGTTTTTAACTTTAAATGTCTACATTTGGCCCTGCTTCATGTTTTAAAATGTGTCATGCTATTACTGTATTGTTTTTTTGCTTTTTAAGTTATTCATTGTTATGTTGTGGTTGTTTTGTGATGTTGTGGGGCTTGGCCTCTTGTAAGCCGCACCGAGTCCTGCAGGAAATGGTAGTGGGGTATAAGAACAATAAATAAATAAAAATTAATAAATAATAATCATATATTCTCTTTCCTTGTCATGCATTGGCCTTGATGGAGGAAAAAAAGGCAGAAAGCAGATTAAGAGACTGAGGATTGGTTGATACGGACCCTGCATAGCAGGCATGGGCAAACTTGGGCCCTCCAGGTGTTTTGAACTTCAACTCTCAACTCTGACGGCTGTTGGGAATTGTGGAAGTTGAAGTTCAAAACACCTGGAGTGCCCAAGTTTGCACATGCCTGCTGTATGGGCATGACTGTTGTGAAAAACCAAATTTAAGAACCACATTCCTATGTGTCACAAGCAGATTTGATAAATGTGGATTTGATATGTGTGGGTATGAATGGAAATGTATGGAAGTTGAATGAAACACAGCTAACTATTTTGGAGACACCATTCTAAAAGATTTAAGGCCTGCAATGACAAACTACCTTCATAATGGACTGTAATTAAAAGTTGCTAATGAGAACTGAAAAAGTAAACCATGATAAGAACTGTGACAATTATAAGAGAAGTGTTTACAATGATAAGAAGGAAGTCAATGGAATGCCAACACCAATTACGAGAGTCAACATCTGGCCCAGAAGCTGAGATGGAGGATAGAAGACATCAATAATTAATTTACAATTACATCAGCAGAATATTCCTATAAAAGTCTCAATCTCATACAGTGTTTCTCAGTCTGGGGGTCAGGACCCCTGGGAGGGTCATGAGAGATTTCAGGGAGTCGCCAAAGACCATCAGAAAACACAATATTTTCTGTTGGTCATGGGGGTTCTGTGTGGAAAGTTTAGCCCAATTCTATCGTTGGTGGGGTTCAAGGGGCTCTTTGATTGTAGGTGAGCTATAAATCTCAGCAACTACAACTCCCAAATGTCAAAATCTATTTTCCCCAAACTCCACCAGTGTTCACACTTCGGCATATTGAGGATTCATGCCAAGTTTGATCCAGTTCCATCATTGTTTGAGTCCACAGTGCTCTCTGGATGTAGGTGAACGACAACTCCAAAACTCAAGGTCAGTGCCCACCAAAACCTTCCAGTATTTTCTCTTGGTCATGGGAGCTCTGTGTGCCTTGGATCAATTCCATTGTTGGTGTTCCAAATGCTCTTTGATTGTAGGTGAACTATAAATCCCAGTAAATACAACTCCCAAATGACAAAATCATTCCCGCCTGCAATCACACCAGAATTTAAAAGTGGGTGTATTGGGTATTTGTGTCCAAATTCGTCCAGTGAATGAAAATAGATCCTGCATATCTGATATTTACATTACGATTCGTAAGAGTAGCAAAACTAGTTAGGAAGTAGCAACAAAAACAGTTCTATGGTTGGGGGTCACCACAACATGAGGAACTGTGTTAAGGGGTTGTGGCATTAGGAAGGCTGAGAAACACTGATCTAATAATTCTCAAAGTGTGGCAAACCAGAGGAGTCTGGCTCACCCGCTATGCTCTGGTGCATGGGAAGGAGAGAGATGGCGTATGGAGAGTGTCAGATCTGTTATGGGAAAGCAGGATTCTGTAGAGTCTGGGGCTCCTTTTCTCAAGGGAAGAGTGCATTTCGGAGTCTTGGATTTTGTGCAGGGAAGTCGGGTTCTGTTGTAGGGTAAACACAGATCTGATCCTTAGGGAAAGAAGTTTTGGCGTTATGGAAGTTTTGGAACTATGTGTTGGCAGGCTGCAGGGAAGCATGGTCTGGCCTAAGAGGTGTTCTTCTCCAGGTGACAACAGGTGGAAGAATGGTGATGTATGCATGCTGATGGATGAACAAATATGTAGTGTGACTGCTGAGTAAAAATGTAATTGCCCTTTGTTTGTTAGCCAATGGGACTGTAAGTGGTTTGCCAACCCAATGTACAAGGAGTATTTTTTAAGTAAGGTCTGTTTTGTTGTAGACACTAGTAGTTCGCGCGCATACCGCAACGAGCACGTGCGTCGTGTACCGGCATGCCTCGGGAACAACTGTGCTGTTTCCGCTCTGTCGCTCACCTGTACGGTTCTGTTCTGTGCTTTAAAAATGTTTAAGACTATCAACTCACCCTCCGCATGTGAGGTTCGCTCAGTGATATGGTTTCTGTCAGCAAGGAACCTGCCCGCTGCAGAAATTCATTGACAGATTTGTGAAGTGTACGGTGATACTGCTATGAGTGAAAGCAAAGTGCGTAAGTGGGTATGACAATTCAAAGATGGCCGTGACAACGTCCATGATGAGGACTGCTCCGGTCGCCCTTCTTTGATTACAGTGAACTTGGTTATCGGAGCAGGTGGCAAGTTTTTATGAAGAGGTATTTTAAAATTGGTTCAGAGGTATGATAAGTGTTTGAACAAACTTGGCAACTATGTCGAAAAATAGAGTGAAGTATGTACTTTCTGAAAATAAATTTACTTTTTTGAAATAAACTTTCGTTGTGTACTTATGTTCAAACGGACCTTACTTAAAAAATACCCCCCGTAGTTACACAGAATCTGTCTGTTTCTATGTCTAAATGTTACTGTTCTATAAAAGTTTTGTAAAGGTTCTGCTATACCCTCTTACACTGAAAATTGCAATAAAAAGTACTTGGTTTAAAAAGTATTCATGACCTATGTACGCGCAAGGCAGTGGCATTTGGTTACTGCAAAAAGCAAGTGAAATATGGGTTTGGTGAATGGTTTCGAACGGAGGGAGCCGTGCACAGAACTGCCCAATTTATTTTGCAAGCAAAAGTGGAAATACCCAACAGAGACTATTTACATCATTGTTTTATTGTGGATGTGTGTGTTTTTGTTTTTGGTAGAAAAACAAATCCAAGATTTTACAGATGGGTTGTTAATTATCAGCAGTGCTTGACGAATTTATGCTCGAGGTCTAAAACGCGTCGCAGTAACCGAGTACACAGATCGCATGGGCACCGGGTTCGGTCCCGTCCCCTCCTTGGTTTAGGAGAAAGGTGCGGATCCCCTTTTGGCACATGGAGGCGCTGCCCGAGAAGAGAGCGCACAGGATGTATCCCCAGGCTCCACGTCCACCTCTTTGGGACTCAAAAGATTAGAAATTAGGTAGAGAAAGTATCGTTGTATGCACACTATTTACAGCCAACTTCTCTTCTCACAAAGGCTTTATGAACATTCAAAAAGGATGGCCAGGATGAAAGAAAAATGAGGCTATTTCACTGATGAGACTCGAATGGATTAAAGGTCTGCTTTATCTCCTGCAGAGCTGCTGTTTTTATAGTTAGACCAAAGCTTTTTCAAACTGCAGACCTCCAAACTCTTTTAGACTTCAGCTCCCAGAATTTCTGACCATTGGACAAGCTGGATAAGGATTCTGGGAGTTGGAGGCCCAAAGACCTGGGGGGCCACAAAATGAAGAGGCCTATCTTACATCTGTATCTATTTAATTTCTACAGTAGAGTCTCGCTTATCCGACCTTCGCTTATCCGACCTTCCGTCTTACCCCTACCCCTCCAGCATTTCCCATTCAATTAAAGGAGCTTCCCAACTCTCTCTCCATTCCTAATAAGTGAAAAAGGCAAGAGGAGGAGGGAGGAAAGGGGGAAAAGAGGCAGGACTGGAAGCAGAAGCGTCCTCCCTCTGTGATTTCCACACTCTTCCGTATCCGAGCACTTCCTGCTGGGCCACTCTAGCCCCACGGTGTTGCCTTGCCTTCACTCTTTTAGTCCCCGTTGTTAGTATTCTAGGTGTCTAGAGCTGTGTTGGATGGGTAACAGGAGGAGACTCCGTATTATTCAACATTTTCATTTATCCAACATTCTGCTGGCCCGTTTATGCCGGATAAGTGACACTCTACTGTATTTCATCTGATGCCTCTCCAGAAGCCAGCTAAAGCAGGCATGCGCCAAGTTTGGCCCTCAACTCCCACATTTCCTAATAGTGGCTGTCCAAAACACCTGGAGGGCAGAAGTTGGCCCATGCTTGAGCTAAAGCCCATAGAACACTATGCCAAATAAGCTCTGAATGAGTGGCTTTTAAACTTCAGGATGTTGTTGAAGGCAGAACAGATCCATCCTTCCCCCAACAGCTTACCTAACTGAATGTACCTATCACCTGGGAACCTCAGGAGACAACAATGCAGATGAATTCCTCTACCTAAGAATGGCAAAAACACTGGTATATTTCAAAATATAGATGTGAAACAGAAGGATACCCTCAGGGTATAGCTCAGGCATGGGGCCAAATGCTAGCACTACCTGCTAGGAGGACTGGTTGCCTGGTGAAGGAAGGGAAAGAGGAAGGAAAGAGAGAAGAAAGGAATGAAGGATGAAAGGGAGGAAGGGAAGGCATGGAAGGAGACAGAGGGAGAGAGGGAGCAAAGAAGGAAGAAGGGAAGGGAAGACAAAAAGCAAGGAAGGGTGGAAGGAAGGATGAAAGGGAGGAAGGAAAGTATGGAAGAAAGGGATGGCTAAAGGAAAGAACGAAGGAAAGACAAAAGGGAAGGAAGAAGGAAGAGGAAGGATGAAAGGGTAGAAGGGAAGGCAAAAGAGGAGAGAAGAAAGGAGGGAGGAAAGAGAGAAGGAAGGAAAGACAAAAGGAAAGGAAGGATAAAAGAGTGGATGGGAAAGATGAAAGGAAGGGAAGGATAAAGGAAAGAAAGAAGGAAAGACAAAAGGGGGGAGGGAGGGAAGGAAGGAAGGAGAAAGAGGGAGGGAAGAGAGGGAGGTAAGGAGGAAGGAAAGACAAAAGGGAGGGAAGGAGAGGGAGGGAGAGAGGGAAAGAAGGAAGGACAAAAGGGTGGTAGGAAAGGATGGAAGGGGAAAGAGGAAGGAAATGGAGGCAGGCAAAGAGGAAGGAAAGAGAGAAGGAAGGAAAGACAAAAGGAAGGGAAGGGAGGAAGGGAGGAAAGAAGGAAGGAAGGAAGGAAGGAAGGAGAAAGAGGGAAAGAGGGAAAGGACGATGGATGAAGGGGAAGGAAGGAGAAAGAGGGAGGGAGGACGAAAGGGTGGAAGGGAAGGAGAAAGAGGGAGGGAAGGACGAAGGAAAGCGAGAAGGTAGGAAGGATAGGAAGGTGAGAGTGGCGTGGGCCTGAGAAAAGAGCCCAAGGGGTGTATCCGGCCCTCGGGCCTGGGTTTACCCATATCTAGTATAGCTTCACAAAGTTAGAAGAGCAAGCTTTCTTCAAAACATTATGTTTCGTATCTGAATGAACAGGTGCACATTAAAATAAAAGGACTTAACCTTTTCTATTTGTCAGTTTTTGTTACATGTCTGTTTCCCCCTGAAATAAAACCTATCAGCCTCTCTTTCTCTGTCTCATGCTTTACATGCCATAAAAGCCCTCCCTTGCAATCAAACTGTAGAAAGTACAGGGAACATTTTAAGCTTTTTCTAAGCAGATTTCCCTCTCTATGGAAAGAGAAAAGGGAAATCAGTCACATTTTCCTTAAATAGAACACTCTTGAGATGCTCTTTCACCACTACCTGAGGCTTTGAGAAGAATCTCTGCATTAAAAACTGGCCAGATTGACAAATAATGGCAATTTAAGTTGTGACTTGTTGTGTTCTTTTTGCCCCCCCCCCCCCACTGCAAACCCATCTCTGCAAGCAACCTGTCACCATCATTATTGGATTTACAAACTCTAGTTTCCTTTAAGCCATGGCTTGTTGTTGCTTCTCTATCCAGGAATGCAGCCTATCCCTGGCTTTCGAAACATGATCGGTCAGGCAAAGCAAGAGAAATACAGACCCAAAACGGGGATTGTTATTTTGGTCGCTCATGGCTAAAGCAATAACACAGCGTTTCTCAACCTAGGGGTGAGGACCCTTGGGGGGAATCGCAAAGGGAGTTTCAGAGGGGTCACCAAAGACCCCTCTGAAGATCTTAGGAACCCCTTTGGCAGAAAAGGCTGAAGATCTCTCTGCCTGTCCTTCGCTTCCTTTTTTGTGTTGGTGAACTACAACTCCCAGAATTCAAAAACAGCCCCCCTCCCCCAACCCGAGCAGTATTCAATGTTGACCATGTAGGTAGTGTGCCAAGTTTGGTGCAGATCCATTCTGGGCTGGGTTCAGAGTGCACTTTGATTGTAGGCAAACTATAAATCCCAGTAACTACAACTCCCAAATGTCATCTATTTTCCCCAAACTCCACCAGTGTTCACGTTTGGGCATATTGAAGATTCGTGCCAAGTTTGGTCCAGATAAATCACTGCTTGAGTCCACAGTGCTCTCTGGATGTAGGTGAACTACAACTCCAAAACTCAAGATCAATGCCCACCAAATCCTTCCATATTTTTTTCTCGGTCACTGAAGTTCTGTGTGCCAAGTTTGGCTCAATTCCATCGTTGGTGGAGTTCCGAATGTGCCAAATTTGGTAAAGTGAATGAAAATACATCCTGCAGATCAGGTATTTCCATTACGATTCACAACAGTAGTAAAATTACAGTTATGAAGTAGCAACGAAAACAATGTTATGGTTGGGGATCACCACAACACGAGGAACTGTATTCAGGGGTCATGGCACTAGGAAGGTTGAGAAACACTGCAATAATAAGTTACAGCTAACAGAGACCATGGCTTAGGATGATGTGAGAATGTGGCTAGAAATAATTGTTTTGCGGCTAGAGAGAGGCTTAAGAATGAAAAGTATATAAAAAAAGAGATGGAAAGAGATAAAATTAATTCAACTCAATCCTGGAACCAAGTAATTTGCATGTCGTCTTAAGCCCGGTGACAGCTTCCTGTACTCACTATCTTGAGAGGGGCTGCTTATACATTTGTTGCATGTGGGTGGGTGCCAACTGGAATTGCAGCCCTTGCAAAGGCCTTGTTTCTTTAAGTTAAAAGATACTCCCACCTATCAAAAGGAAAGTCAGTAGTGGCAACATCCTCGAGCTGGTTCCACCAAGTTTTGTTTGTGCTCCGTTCCCATTTCCCCATAAATGGTTAAGAGAGGAAAGGAAGGGGCTGTGAGAACGACAAATAAAGTGCAAAATGCTTCTGTTAAGTAGCATGAGGCAGAATGTGGGAGTGGGTGAAGCAATGGTGGTAAGCAAGCTGGGAAGCACACGGAGGCAACCCAAATAATAGACACCCTTCTGCCGCCCTGCCCCACCGACCAGTGAAGAGCGAAGAAGCCCCACCTTCAGATGTGCTAAATAAGGAGCCCAACCAAGGTGTAAGCATCAGTGAGAGTCACATTCCCCGCAAAAGAGCTGGGGAAAAGCAGGCGAGAAGAAGAATGAGCTGTGCAGGCCTGTTGAACTCACTACTTCTGAGTGCGCACATCTCAGTGTGAAGGATCTAGTTACCATTCAAAGACGAAAACAGAGGAGCCCCGAGTCCCTCCTGATCAGTCATGGTGTCTCTTTCACATAGGAGACAAGACGTCCCACCCCATCCTGAAAGATTTCTGTCTCGCATAAGAGCACACCCAAAGGACAACCTGGAAGTTTGCAGAGTCACAGGAAAGCGGAACGCCGCAGCTTGGACTCATGTAGGTCAATTATTTCGGTATATCACAGAAGGGACTTGGGGAAGGAAAAGTTCATCCATTGACCTGCCTCTGGAGGTGAGTGCTCCTGTGTGGGTAACCCTTTCGAGTGAGTCCTCTCCCAACAAGGAGGTTGAAAGAGGGAAGGGAAAACACCAGTGAGTGGCTCTGGGGCGAGGGAATGCCTTCCCAAGCAACTGCAGACTGTGTTCCGACTCAAAGGTCAGGCTGGGCAGGGAAGGTGTTACGGCGTGTAGGCCGGAGGAGGCTGGAACTGGTTGATCACTTCATACTCCGCTGGGTAAGGTTCGTTTTCCTCCATCTCAGAGAGGAGCTCCAAGGCCTGCTCCTCTTCCTCAGTGGGGTAGTGGCGCAGCAGGTTGGCTGCCGTGGCCAGGATGGAGGCCCCGCCTGCTCCGGCCACCAGGTAGAAGCTGACGGCAAAGGTGACGTACACCTGGGAGCCGTGGTACTTTTTGTGCTGCTGCTGCTGTGCCAAGATCAACTCCGAGGCCCAGTAGCAGAACCCGATCACCGTGGCGCACTGCAAGACTGCGAGCAAGAGAGAGGAAGGAAGAGGGGAATTTATCACATACAGCACAATAGATAACACACTGTGGCTCTCTCAAAGAGGACAGCCATTCTGCCTCTCAGCAATTTCTTCCAGCTTGTGAAATGCGAGTTTATGATGGGCAGGTGGCAGGAACTGTTCACCAGAATTAAAAAACCTAGTCACGTTATCGACTGCTCCTCACAGGACATTCTTGCCATCACAAACTCCCTTACATTGTTTCTGCTGGGGAATTTGAGCCGTTAGGTTCAAATATAACATATATACTAAAGTATAAGCCAAGTTTTTTTAGGCTGAAAAAGCCCCCCCCCCCCCCGATTATCCTTGAGTTATTATTATTATTTTATTACATTTATTATTTTACTCTATTATTTTATTACATCTATTATTTTACTCTATTTATTATTATTACATTTACATTATTTTACTCTAACATAATTATATTTATTATTTTACTCTATAATTATTATTGCATTTATAATTTTAATCTATTTATTATTGTTATTATTACATTTATTATTTTATTCTATTTATTATTAATAAAAGGGCCTTCTCGGTGGTGGCCCCTCGGCTATGGAATGCCCTACCAGTGGACATCAGGCAGGCTCCTTCGTTGCTGGTGTTTCGGAGGAGGGTTAAGACGTGGCTCTACGAGCAGGCATTTGGATGAATATGCAATGACAACTAACTCAGTAAAACGGCATTGAACAAGGAACGAAAAAAGGACTATGAGAACGGGATCTGACTCTAATTGAGGCGTTGATGATTATATGTGTGTTGTTGTGTATGTGTGTCTTATATATTGTCAGTGTTGCTTATTTATTGTAAACCGCATTGAGTCGCCGCCTCAGGCTGATAAATGCGGTATACAAATGGAGTAAATAAATAAATAAATTAATTAATTAATACTAGCCGTCCCCTGCCACACGTTGCTGTGGCCCACATGGGGGTTCTATGTGGGAGGTTTGGCCCAATTCTATCATTGGTGGGGTTCAGAATGCTCTGTGATTGTAGGTGAACTGCAACTCCCAGATGTCAAGATTCTATATTCCCCAAACTCCACCAGTGTTCACATTTGAGCATATTGAGTCTTCGTGTAGAGTTTGGTCCAGATCCCTCGTCCTCACCAATCACACCTGTGAGGGAGGTGGGAGCAAGAACAGGGCCTCCCCAGATGAACTAAGAGATTGTGTGGGTTCATACACAGAAATGCGGTCACGCATTATTGGGCTTGGCCCCGCTTGTAAGCCACACCGTGGCGGGATATAAAGTTATTACTATTACTATTAATAATAATAATAATTAGGGGAAGGGGGAATTTCATAATAGGAAGGTAGCATCCCTATGAGTTCAAGACACCACTCAGCAAACCCATAGATTGGTGAAGCAGTATCAGGGTATGGCTGGTCCAGGAACAAGCTGCCCACCCCATATGGGGAGTTTCTGAATCATATCTTGGAAAAGGACTGCAAACCTAAGTGCCGCCCCAGCAGCCCTCATCAAGGCCCACCCCAATCCGACTACCTGTGAGGATGTGGGCAAACGCATAACGTCGTGTGATCTTCAGTGCAGGATGCTTGGGTCCAAACACATCCAAGAGGAAGGCCGAAAGGCTGCAGACGATTCCCAAGAAGCAGAAAGCAGCAATGACCCGAAGCAGGAGCACTGTCTGGGGGTTCATGCAGTAGTCTAGGAGGGGACAAAGAGGACTAAGCATTAGCACCTTTAACCTCACAGTTGCTCCTAGATCTTTCCCAGAATTCAACATTGTGGTTTAAGGCTTTGGTTTTGCCACATTTATCTGGAATTCTCTGCTAGACATCTGCAGCCCTGATGAGCTTGACTGAAAGTGCATTTCACTGGATTGAAATGCACTTTCAGTTCCACCATTTCAGTGACACATTAACAGTCTTTACATTCCTTATCTGAAATATGAGGGTTATCCAGAAAATAAGGTTACAAGATTATTTTATAATACAAAGAATGAATATATTTTAATAAAACTGACATGGATTGTAGCATTATTTTCCCACATAATCACCATTCAGTTCAGTTTTGTCATCTATGGGATGAGTTTTTGATGCCTGTGTCATAGAAGTTTCCCTCCACCTTTTTCAGCCAGTTTGATTTGCACCTCATCATTGTCAGAAAAATGTTTTCCACTCAGATGTTCCTTCAATTTAGTGAACAGATGAGAGTCACTGGGTGCGCAATCAGGGCTGTGAGACGGGTGGCTTAAAACATCCCAACCAAAGGAAGTCAACAATTTTTGTGTTGCATGAGCGGTGTGTGGGCACACATTGTCATGAAGGAGACAAGCTCCTGTCATCAGCATCCCACGACGTTTGTTTTGGATGGCTCTGCGAAGTTTCTTTGTGGTCTCACAATATATTCTGTACCCATTTTATCACATGCTGTCTTGATATTACGTCCTCTCCATATCCTGAAACCATTTCACAATAAATCACAGCGGCGTTCATGCCCTTCGCATTTAAGTAGCATATTAGAGCGCAAACTTTGCACTTGGAGGCAAACGGAATGAGGACGCTCATCTCTACCCTTCGCCACGCCAGTCGATGAGCTAGTGACAACTGGCAGTGCTAGTTTGTTTCCGCTGTCTTCCCGCTACACGGCAGTAATACCAACTTCCCTCGAGAAAATGACCTGTGGGAGGTACGTACCTTGTAACCATACTTTCTGGATAACCCACGTATCTGGGAACAGAATTACACAGCAAACAGTAACATGGCCTTGTTCTAAGATGGTGATAAAATGTCTGCTTAGGCTGCTTTTCAATTGAGGAAATGACCTCAGAGTGACTTGTTCACTGTGAAATGGGAACTGGGCTATACCTCTTTTGGCTTTGTTTGGATCAATACTATCCACCACTTCCAGTGTTAAAATGCTTTAAATGCTGCTTACAATTTATTGGCTATAGAGAAGGGAACTGTACAGGAGCTCAGCCTCTTACAGAGAGCACACACTAATAGCCTGCACTTTTCCCTAAAGATGAGTAGCTGCGAAATTTGTTGAGACCCTCCTTACAAATGTACAGCAGAAAAACTTATCAGCAGCAGCACGACCCAGCACCAGTAGACCAAAGTGATAAAAAGAACCATAATACACTGACCACAGTTATTTCTTCCATCGGAGGCTTTTCTTTATAGCAAAAGAATATGGGTGTACTATTTACAAGAACAAGGTTTCCAAGTACTTTGGCCACATCATGAGGAGACAGGAAAGCCTAGAGAAGACAATTATGCTGGGGAAAGTGGAAGGCAAAAGGAAGAGGGGCCGACCAAGGGCAAGATGGATGGATGGCATCCTTGAAGTGACTGGACTGACCTTGAGGGAGCTGGGGGTGGTAACGGCCGACAGGGAGCTCTGGCGTGGGCTGGTCCATGAGGTCACGAAGAGTCGGAGACGACTGAACGAATGAACAACAACAACAACAATACTTCCTTCTTTGCTTCCATGCTGGGCTTCCTTCTCATGCAGATAAACAGCTTTGCTCTCACAGAGCCTCTTTTCACACCTAAGTTACACAGGAGCTTCACGCAGTAGCTTAACACACAGCAGGCTTCACACTGAAGTTTCACACACAATGGCCTTCAAGCTGAGGTTTCTCTCATTTACTGAGGTCTACCTCCCACTGAAATTTGTTGGGCGAGAAATGGCACTACCTAAAAGATTCCTCCACCTTATGTGACTTTATTTATTTATTTGACTTGTATACTGCTACTCCCAATTTGGCTCGGAGCGGTTTACAGCAGTAGATTAAAACAATACAATTAACTTTAAAATACAATAAAAACAAGAACAGACATAGTCCCGAGTTATTCGACCATCAAAAGCTTGTCGGAAGAGAAAGGTTTTACAGGCTTTGGAGCAGAACAGACAACTCCACATCTGTATGCTTGTCCACAATGTCCTGCCTCATGTACTGAGGAAGAAATGTTGGAGGCTACAGACAATGCAGTTGTGTTGCCCGTTTTTGGTCAAAATATATTTAGTGCACATGATCCTTCTATTTTTATCAGTTTTATACTAATTTATGCAATGCTTTTGATACTAAATGAATAACTCCCACTGAGGCCTTCCTCAAACTGAGGCAAACTCACACTGAGGCCCTTCTCCCACAGAGACCTTTCACAGACTAAGCTACAGGCACACATGCTTATATTGAACTGCGCCGTTGCATCCATTTAGCCCTTTTAGTGCATTACTCACATTTTTGTAATTAAAAATACGTAGTTAATTTTTAATTTCACCCTATGAGCTTCACTACTTCAAAAGTGGTCCAGAAAGTGGTGTTTTCCCCACCTTGCTCTGGAAGGAGTAACGACATAAGAAACACGTACTTCCAAACCAGAGTCTGTAACCACGTAAACCACAGATTTGCTTCCATATCCAAATCTGATGGCAAGCATATTCTACACTTGGCTGATGGAAAAATGCACACAATTTGCAAGTTTCTGCTAAAAGCTACATTGATAACAAATAAAATAAGCAGCTACAACGGGGCATTTCATTTTGCCAGAGGCGGGATCTTCCAGTTCACTGCTCGTAATTAGCTTTCTCGTAACAGTCAACTGTTTTGGATGTCTTTTGGCAGGATGTCTGACTCAGCCTCAAGATTTATCCAGCTTCCCTTGTAGTTAAGAACTTCCATCTTGTTTTGACAATGCTGTCCAGTTGGGGATTTCATCCATTCACGTTCAAAAATGCTGCCATGTTGGTCAAATTGTCTCTCCAGTGTGTTTGCATTCTTCTGAGACCTTTCAACCTAGTTAGGAGTTCCACCCAAACCTGTCTTGTTGCTTTTACTGTGGCAACAAGCTGCACTACACAGGAAAATATACTTTCAGCAAGAGGAAAAACACCAACCAAGTACACCAAACAAGGCAGTGCCTGTAAACAAGAACTACGGTGACATTACGGTGACTGTGAAGCAGAACTTGAGCTATGAACGGAGGGGATTCCCATGTTGCGTTTAACTGACACGCCAACAATTATGAACCTGGCCAGGCTGGGTTTTTTTCTCTCTTTTGCAAAAGTAAAATTATGAAGGATGAAGAATGGTGGGGTTCTTTGGAGTCACACAAATGGCCTTGTGGGGTTTCACAAGATATTGTTGTTCATTCATTCAGTAGCTTCCGACTCTTCATGATCTCATGGACTAGCCCATGCCGGAGCTCCCTGTCAGCCGTCACCACTCCCAGCTCCTTCAAGGTCAAGCCAGTCACTTCAAAGATGTCATCCATCCATCTTACACTGGGTCGGCCCCTCTTGCCTTTTCCTTCCATTTTCCCCAGCATCATTGTCTTCTCTAAGCTTTCCTGTCTTCTCATTATGTGGCCAAAATACTTCATCTTGGCCTCTAATATCCTTCCCTCCAATGAGCAGTTGGGCTTTATTTCCTGAAGTATGGACTGGCTGGATCTTCTCACTGTCCAAGATAGTCACTGTTTTCACTGTTTTAATTGGTGAGCATACCCTGAAAGCTCAGAACAGACTGATATTTTGAACATTAAACATTTTAAAGGCAACTTTAAGGGTGTGGGTGAAATTTTACTTGATTTCCCCAAGGGGTGTTTCAAGTAAGAGAAGCTTAACGTACCAGAATGAGTGCTGGAATGTTTAGAAGTTTGAGCAATAGACATATTTCTTTAGTTGCATTTCATAAAGGTGTGTGTGTGAGTAAGTGGACTTCTGTTTAAGAAGTCCAAAACCTCTTGGTCTCAGAAACTCATCCTAAGTTTCTTTGGCCTAATTTTCCTAGCCTAATTAACACACTCCCCAAAAGAAATTCTACACTTATTCATCCTTGTTTATCTACTCAGTAGTTCTCAACCTGTGGGTCCCCAGGTGTTTTGGCTTACAACTTCCAGAAATCCCAGCCAGTTTACCAGCTGTTAGGATTTCTGGGAGTTGAAGGCCAAAACATCTGGGGACCCACAGGTTGAGAACCACTGTTTTAGATAATCTTTCTGTTGTTTCCAGAAGATAATAGAGTTCCCATACACTTAATACATTAAGAGATAATTGGATGAAAATGATATACAGGTGGTATCTAACTCCACACTAAATTTCCAAATGTTATAAAAATGCATCAGACAAATTTGGAAATGTGGAAAATAATCGGGAACTTTCTTTCATGTTTGGTGGACCTGCCCAGAGGTGAAAAAATTCTGGTCGGAAATCCACACTGAGATACAAAAAGTATTAAAAATAAAAATAACAAAAGAACCTGAATACTATTTACTAGGTATGTTAGATTTGACAGAAGACAAGGACAAAGAGATACTTTTTAACTATTTAGTCATAGCAGCAAGAATCGTATTTGCCAAAATTTGGAGAAAGAAAGAGACTCCGAAAAAAGAGGACTGGCTCAAGAAAGTTCTGGAGGTAATGAATATGGACAGGCTCACTTACTGGATCACTCCAAATCAAGGAATCCCAAACAAAAAACAAAAAAACATACAAACTGGGATTTGGTTAAAAACTACTTCAAGGAACTAAAGATAGACTTATTAATTTGATAATATTAACACTCACAAGAAGACTCGACGACACAGGGATGTTTAGTACAGTGCCACACAGAGCCCTTTTGAGAGGCCAATTACCATGACTTTACAACCACCGATGAATAGAAGGAAGTCAAATTTAACTTTCCCCCCCCTTTCTTT